CTCTTTCCGTATTCCGTTGGATAAGCTGCATGGTCGCTTCTCTTCTCTTCATGTGTTGTTGTTGTGTTGTCTCCGAAACCTAGCTTGGAAGCTACAGTGTTTTTAGCTGAGACGGCTTTGTCAGCCACTGCAGTGGTTGCTGATGAGAGCGTTGACGGTTTTTCATTGCTTCTGTTCACCTCGTGATGATGCTTTGTTTCGTTCTCGTTTGTGTCGCCGTATCCTAGCTTCGAAGCGACGGCGTTTTTGGCTGTGGCGGCTTTATCAGCTATTGCTGTTGTTGCTGATGTTATTGTTGAAGGTTTTTCATTTGTTTGAGTTGTTTCATTCTCGTTTGTGTTGTATCCCAACTTCGAAGCCACGGCGTTTTTGGCGTTGACGGCTTTGTCAGCTATTGCACCTGTTGCTGATGAGATTGTTGAAGGTTTTTTATTTGTTTGAGTTGATTCGTTCTCGTTTGTGTTGTATCCGAGCTTCGAAGCGACGGCGTTTTTCGCTGTGACGGCTTTGTCAGCTATTGCACCTGTTGCAGATGAGATTGTTGAAGGTTTCTCATTTGTTTGAGTTGTTTCATTATTTGTGTCGTATCCGAGCTTTGAAGCAACGACGTTTTTGGCTGTGACGGCTTTGTCAGCTATTGCACCTGTTGCTGATGAGATTGTTGAATGTTTTTCATTTCCTGTGTTTGTTTGAGTTGTTTCGTTCTCGTTTGTGTTGTATCCGAGCTTCGAAGCGACGGCGTTTTTGGCTGTGACGGCTTTGTCGGCTATTGCACCTGTTGCTGATGAGATTGTTGATGGCTTTTCATTTCCTGTGTTCTCTTGGTGGTGCTTTGTTTCTGTTGTTTCATTCTCGTCTGTGTTGCCGTATCCGAGCTTTGAAGCGACGACGTTTTTTGCGGTGATCGCTTTGTCAGCTACTGCGGACGTTGCTGAGGAGATTTTGTCTGTGTAACTGCTCTCGTTGGATGGTTTATCCATGGGGTTGTAGGTTTGTGGGGTTTTGGGTTGTGATGAAAATTCCGGTTGAAATTGATCGTGGCTTCTGGATGAAGGGTATTGAGGATTGGTTGCACTAGTTTGTTGAGGGAAGTGGTGGTCATGGATTCCGGTATGAGGGTGGTGAATGTTAGGTTCAGTAGATAACACTGGTGCAAACTGATCATGGCTTCCAGATGAAGGGTATTGAGATTTTGTTGCACTGGAATGCTGTGGGAAGTGTTGGTCATGGATTTTGGTAGAAGGGTACTGAGATTCTGGTGCAAACTGATCATGGCTTCCAGATGAAGGGTATTGAGATTTTGTTGCACTGGAATGCTGTGGGAAGTGTTGGTCATGGATTTTGGTAGAAGGGTACTGAGATTCTGGTGCAAACTGATCATGGCTTCCAGATGAAGGGTATTGAGATTTTGTGGCAGTTGAATGTTGTGGGATGTGTTGGTCATGGATTTTGGTAGAAGGATACCGAGATTCTGGTGCAAAATGATCATGGCTTCCAGATGAAGGGTATTGAGATTTTGTGGCAGTTGAATGTTGTGGGAAGTGTTGGTCATGGATTTTGGTAGAAGGGTTCCGAGATTCAGGTGCAAACTGATCATGGCTTCCTGATGAAGTGTATTGAGATTTTGTGGCACTTGAATGTTGTGGCAAGTGTTGGTCATGGATTTTGGTAGAAGGGTACCGAGATTCTGGTGCAAACTGATCATGGCTTCCCGATGAAGTGTATTGAGATTTTGTGGCACTTGAATGTTGTGGCAAGTGTTGGTCATGGATTTTGGTAGAAGGGTACCGAGATTCTGGTGCAAACTGATCATGGCTTCCAGATGAAGTGTATTGAGATTTCGTGGCAGTTGAATGTTGTGGGAAGTGTTGGTCATGAATTTTGGTAGAAGGGTACCGAGATTCTGGTGCAAACTGATCATGACTTCCAAATTGATCATGGCTTCCAGTTGAAGTGTATTGAGATTTTGTTGCACTCGAATGTTGTGGGAAGTGTTGGTCATGGATTTTGGTAGAAGGGTGCTGAGATTCTGGTGCAAACTGATCATGGCTTCCAGATGAAGTGTATTGAGATTTTGTTGCACTTGAATATTGTGGCAAATGTTGGTCATGGATTTTGGTAGAAGGGTACTGAGATTCTGGTGCAAACTGGTCATGGCTTCCAGATAAAGGGTACTGAGCTTTTGTTGAACTTGATTGTTGTGGGAAGTATTGGTCATGCATTTTGGTAGGAGGATAAAGAGTTTTAGTTGGTGTTGGGGTAAACTGATTATGGCTTTGGGGATATTGAGTTTTAACTTCAGCAGATAGTTCTGGCTTGTTTTGACCATAGCTTTCAACTGATGGGTAGTGAGTTTTGGTTGCAGCAGACAGCTCTGGTGCGAATTGGGAGTGGATTCCAGCAGAATGGTGGTGGGTTTCAGCACCCGTTGGAAAGAGTTTTGGTTCTGTGTATGTTTTTGGCTCATTATGAACAGTCATCCTAGTGAAAGATTTCTCAACTGGGGTAATGTCAATTTCTGCCCCTCCTGTCAGCCATAAGACATGTAAAAAATGGAAGAGAATATATTAGAATCATACAAGACTTTGGTTCCTACTTGTTAACAAGAATCACCGCATTCTATGATGAATGACTCCAATTATAAAAAGTCAAAAATTGAAAATGTTAAATCTCATGGTACTCAAATATACTTCATGTGAATATATTCAATTTTAAGATGATAGAACATAGTGTACGTAACATATTCACTTTTATATATTTGAATTATTAACTATCCATTTTATCAATTTAAGTATTTAGCCCGCTATTAACACGTTACTTATATACATCAAGAAATCCATATTCCATAGGCCATAACAGATCATAGAAAATTGATTTGTTCAACATACCTGCCCCAGTTGGATCAGTGACTTTGGTTTGATAATTGGCTGGAGCATGTGCTCCAGCGATACTTCGTGGTGCGTTGGGATCCTCCTCCAAGTGCATCGGTCTCTCCAAATTGACCTTGTGATTCACGATTTTCTCTACCTCCACAATTGTGGTTCTGCTTTGACTAATTCCAGTAGTTGGAGAAACAACTTTCACTCTTGGATCATGTTGAGGTTCTTCTCCCAGAACTGTTGTACCTCCATGCCTCCCTAAAATATTGACTTGCCCCGGTGCTGCACTTCTAACAGCAGCACTGTCATAAACTACAGAAAAATCAAGTTAGTTATCTTATCTAACCCAAGAAATCATATTTTTCCTGATTCCTTTCATTTAAGAGGTTCCAATTTAATTTCTTCCCGAATACTTAGAGGATTAAAATTCATCTTAAACCAAAGTTGCCCAATAGATATGTAAGCTGAGATAGACTATATGCTCCAATACTCAAATAAATTTCATCTTAAAAGTGACATCATAAAATTGTTCAATTGGTGTGAGAGTTTTCAATTGGAAAGAATAGAACATATAATAGTAATGTGCTAAAAAGAACTTACTTGGTGCTCCATGGACTTCTGGGTCTACTACCATATCTTCATCCTCGTCTTCTTCATCCAAGTCATGATCATCAGGGATATGCTGATCTTCATAGTGATACTCCTGATGGCCATGTTCATTGTCATGATGGCCATGCTTTGTGATTGTGTCCTTAATTTTCTTAGCCTTTTGCTTGACTTTCTTCAAAACTGACTTCTTCTCGGGGTCATGGTGGCCGTATCCTTCACCATGTGCCACTACATCCAAAATTTGAAGCAAAATATCAAACAAATTCAAATAAAAATTAATGCACAGTTGCACAACCACTAGAGGAAGCAAAAAGAGGTTCTTGTAAATCAAATCAAACTTCCAAAAATTCCAATTAAATGATATTCATTTTGTACCTTCTTGAGACCCAACATTGTGAGAATTATGATGATGTTGAACGTCCATGATTGATTGATAAGGTAACTGCTTGTGCTCGGTTGCTAGAGAAAACACCTCCTAACAATGTTTATATAAGAAGGTCACGCCGCCGTGTTTTGCCACCTTTGCATGGCTGTGCATCTCTAAATGAGTGACACGTGTGTGACAATAACCGACACATCTTTGTAACTTGACACGTGTTGACTAGCTTTAGGCACGTGGCTCATTTTTATACACCACCGATTTTTGAAATAGGAACTAAACCGTTCGAGCGTCTTAGATATTAGATATGTAATAGATAAGGATAATGGATAAATGTTTCTACTTCTGTCAATACAATGCTGTATTTAGAAGGACGCCAACAAATCCTAATGTAGCAGTCTGGCAGATACGAAACCCACGTTTTACCCATGGAAATATTCTTTGGAGTTTAGAAGTTGAACAAAGTTCAAGTTGTTTCATTTTTTTACACCTTAATCCACATTTTTTCCCCTTAATTCACTGAGATAATGAAATGGCAGATATGTCGGTGTTCAATGGTCCTTATAAAAAACTATAAAATGTTAGCAAATAATAAATAATTGCACACCAATGTTCCATTCTAAAAAGCCCTTAACACCCTATCATACATGCATTTTACACTAAAAGTTCTATAAATATTTGAGACTTTGAGTTATAATTAAGAGAATTTATGTTAAAGAATTTATCTCATGGTTGCCCTTAGGTGCCTTGACAATGATTAACTCCCTAATACATGTAAAGAACCATCAAATAGACACATTTTTCAAACATTGTTACTATATTGATTAATTTATTAACTTGAACATTAAAACACTGCAATTACTCCGCACCTTCGTCTCATCTTTCCCT